CTTCATCATATTAATAAAAAAATAACTAAAAACGATTCTAATCTTATCATGTTATTTTCCTTTGGTTATACATATATGCATTAATATTTCTATAAAATAACGATTTTTTTTGTATAACTATTATTTTTTTAGTATGGTAAATCTTTTATTTTTGATAATAGATAATCAAATTTCTCAGTGATTTTTTGCTACTTTATAATTTTGTTGTGCAAGGCTTTATTTATGTGTTAATTCATTTTGTAAATCATTATATTATCTTCCATTCCTCTAGACATTTCGGTTAGTTACCTATCTTTTGTAGATAGCTTCTGTTAGAGTTCTTACGGGACTGAAATTCTTATATGAAGTTTTCCATTCATAAAAGCCGAACGTTGCGATCTCGTTTTTGACTAATAGTTTCTTTTTGCATTTGGTAGGTCAATTTTTTTGGTTGATTAATGAATGCATTAAAAGAAAGGCAAACATATTTGCACCCTTTTAATAACACAAGAACACATGTAATTTAAATTTAGAAATGGGTAACCTGGAAGCAGGTTCCTTCTAAACATTGGTTCACCTCCATATTGTCCTTCTCAGAACTTTGTTACAATCTAAAAGGAAAGATAGTAAGGCTAAGATCAAATTTGTCGAAAACGTATATTCCTCTCTGAATGTTCTTAGTGACTCATTCTATTTAGTATCGTGTGAACAAAGACATAATAATACACTACGCTAATGTTTAAAAGGTATAGAATAAAAAAAGTGAAAATCAGAAAGCAGCCGTATATTCAACGCTCGAAAAAGGGAAACAAAGCATTGCCTTTTACAGTATCCGAGAAAAGCGAGAGGTTAGTTATGTTCTGGAAAATATTTATCCCAATTCTGGATACTGTGATGAAAATGAAGAATTTTACTTGATCAGGAAACAGAACCATTAAAAGGAGCGCATTTATGAATCCACAGACACATTCATATTACGAACCCTAAGAAAATCTACAAACTAAAAAGCGGAATGATTTGAAACAAACATTGGTTGTTTCTACATTCTTCATGTGCAATGCAAAATTCCCAGAGCATTTCACCGAATTTTTATATTATTCTGTATTCCGTCAGGATAAAAATAACATGGCATTCAGACTCAGCTAATATATCCAAAAAAATGAATCTGACAAGCACAGATTAAATGGCGTCAGAGAGGTTGCCTCTAAAGGATCGGAACACACTCTGGACTTATATAATGATTCCACTCCCTCATGTCTGTGCAGGTACATTTTTTCGTCTCGGACCTCACGATGCCGTTGATTGCCTCGGGGTATTATGAAAATGATCCGAGATAACTCGCGCAATAACAAAAGTCAACCCCTTCACGTAAGGAATGTGGAGGAATTCATTGGGCCCATGTGCGTTGCTCTGTGGTCCGAGCACCCCTGTCACGATAACCTGCGCCGTTTTGTAAGTTTCGATAAGCTTCCCAACGAAGGGAATGGCCCCCCCCATGCCCTGACATGCATAAGTCTTGCCAAAAGCCAGGAGGCTAGCCTCTTCGAGCGCGTTATGCAACCACGGCTTCAATTCCGGCATGCAGGAGCCGTTATCCCCAGATTCCTTCTCAAACTGGACCCTGGCGTTGGAGGGTGGGTCGTCCTCGAGGACGAGGCCCATGGCCTCCAACACCCTTTTTGAATCCACGTTGGGAGGTGTCCGTATCGACAACTTCACGGCTGTCTCGGCACGAATTACATTCCCGGCCACTAGAGGATCTGGCAGGTTCGCTCCGACTACTGTGAGGCTCGGCTCCCAGAAATTCCTCAACGCCAACGTTTGGTTGTCGACCGCTGCCAAAGATACACCGGGGAGGGTTGAAAACTGCTCTTTAAACCCCACCGCGTTCATCGCCTCAGCGGCCTTTATGGAAGCCTCGGGGATGTCAGCGTGCGCTTCCGGGAGCCTCACACGCCCCGTTTTGGAATCCTCAAGGCGGTCTAACAACTCACGGAGGATGCGAAAGCTGTCGGGGACGACGCCGCCCGCCACTCCGCTGTGCATGCTCTCCGAAAGAGTCCTCACTCGCAACACCCCATCCGCCACACCGCGCAAGGAAGTGGTAAGCCATACCTGCTCGTAGTTCATACACCCGCTGTCCAGGCAAATCACAAGATCCACAATCCCGATTTTTTCACAAAATCGCTCCATAAAATAATCTAAATCCGGGCTTCCGGACTCCTCGCCGGATTCGATCGCGATAAGAAGACGCCCGTGGGGAATCCCATGGCGTTGGAGAGAAGCGATACTGCAAATCGACGAAAACAGCGCATACCCGTCATCGCTGGCGCCTCGGCCGTACAACTTCCCATCGCGGACGACGGGCCTGGTGGGGTCCAGTCCTTCTCCCCAGGGTCTCAAAGGGGGCTGTTTGTCCATGTGGCCGTACATCAACACCGAACACGCCATCGGGGCCGTCCCGAGAACTTCCACCAATAGGAAAGGGGTCCGGCCTTTTTCCTGAATGTAGTCGAGCGTGAGGCCGTGAAGGTTCTGCGCCTTCACCCAGTTTATTAGAATGGCAAAGGCATTTTCCATCAGCCCGTTGGTGGCCCACTCGGGATCGAAGGAAGGGCTCTGGTTGGGAACCGCAATATACGAGGAGAGAGCGGGGATGATGGTGGTATCCCACTCCTCCTCAATTGTGGCTTTGACCGTATTCCAATCAATGGACATGGGTACCTTAGGAAGGGGAGTTACGGAGATGGATAACTGTCAGTGTTTTTTTGTGTGTGTGAGAGGGGGGGGAGGGGTTGTGTAAAAAAAAGTGTCGATAATTTCTCTTTTTTTTTATGCTTAAAATTTTTTAGAATGGGAATCAAAAGTAAGAACCTCCCGAAATTATATGCGAGATGAAGAGCAAGAGAGAAAAAAAAGGAGTATGAACCGATCAGCGGCCTAAAAAATGCTAACAGCGATGGAATGGAATTAAATGTCACTAGTACGTGACACTTCGCTACACCTGGTGGTGTTTTTTTAAAAAGTCGATTAAAAAGTAATTCAAATCACCGAACGTTCACTTTTTCTCCCACATTATCGTGACAGTTTCTGCTCACGGGATGACTCTGTGGATTAGCGGAGCTTCTTCTTCATTCGGAGGTTGGAGCAGTGGCCGCAGGCCTTCTTTCGGCAATTCGTCGCGCGGACCGGGAGGCGGGCGTAGCATCGTCGGCAAACCTTCTTCTCCCAATTGCACTTCTTCGCCAGGGCCACCAACGTCGGCTCCATCACCCCCCCGCGCAGACGGAGGACCAAATGCAGGGTGGATTCCTTCTGGATATTGTAATCGGCGAGCGTGCGTCCCTCCTCCAACTGCTTGCCCGCGAAAATCAGGCGCTGTTGGTCAGGAGGGATGCCTTCCTTGTCCTGAATCTTCGCCTTCACATTGTCAATCGTATCGCTGGCCTCGACCTCGAGCGCGATCGTCTTGCCCGTCAACGTCTTCACGAAAATCTGCATTTTTTGGGGGGGTCAAATGTGATTTATGTGCTACAAAACGGAGAAAAAAAACGTGCTGGTGAAAAAATGTGTACAAACGCTGATATAGTACAGAATAAAATGCATCTAATAATTAAGGAACATGTAAAGTAGATTGAAAACTGTTTTTTTCGGAAAAGGTTATAATAACAGAAGTTGTTCGTCAGTCTTTTTTTACTAGGATTTTGCTTAGTTTTACATTATCAAAAAATATCACTAGCCTTAAGTCACTATTAATAAGTGAAGTGGCGTGGTGCAGTAAAACATTTAGGATTAAGAAAAGAAAATATTAGAATAAAAAGAATATGCAAAGCCTATACCTTAACCTGTAAGCTGAAAACTAAAATATACAGCAAAATAAACAAATAAATTAATTTCCTCCTCACCACTTACAATACATACATAGTTCAACTATCACAATGATTTAGTAGTAATTTTCTTCTCCCCAAAATCCATGGTATCCCAGAAGATAATTGTAAGGATCCCTAGATTTAATTAAGGATTTAATTCTCTCTGCTTTCTTGCCTATGCATTCTTTCTTGCCTTCTTTAGCATTTAAATCAGAGTATTCAATACATGGTTTAATTTTGCCGTTGTGACCTAAACTCGGATTTAAAGGCGAGGTGCAAAGAGATTCACGGCTTAACAACGGCGGGATCTTTGCTCGCGTACGTGGTGTACCTAAATATACGGAGCGAATAAAATCTAATGACCTGTGATTCTTTATCTTTACTTTGTGTTTATTAATATTTTGGATTCCTCGCGGTTTATCCAAGTTTTTGAAAGTTCTGATAATTCGACGTGAGAAAGTGGGATGTCGTGTTGCCAAACATGAATCTGCTATATCCATCATTCGCTTTGAAGGAAGCAGATCCACCATACACTCAACTTTTACTTGTTTTGAGTGTTGATTTAAAGGAAGTTTCTCAACTGTCCGCACATTTTCGGCTCCTCCCCCTTCTACTTTTATCTGAGAACAGCTAGACTTTGTTAAAAAGGGGTTCGTGTCAAGCGTTTGCACTCTACTAGGCAACTCGGCACTTCCAAGTTCAGAAGGCCCTTTGAATCCCTTACGTAATTCGGAATTTACTTTTTGGATACTATCTCGACTAACCGTATTTATTTTTATTTCCGGCAGCCTTTCCTCTGGTACATCATTTATGTCCACAACGTCCTGTGGTTTGGCTTTATCGTTCCGTTTTTCAACCATACTCGTTTCCTCGGTGATAGACGAACCACACGAGGCATATTTAGACAGCAAATCGTCCGTGATGGAACTGTTTAAGAAAGCGGAAGTACGACTATTGGTGCTTCCGGTTCTGTGGGACTTCGGCCCCGTCTCTAATGGCTCTCTCCCACGAAGACTGTTGACCCATTTCATATCCAAACTCCGTCTGCCACTGTTGTAGCGCAATTTACTTATAACGTGTTCGGACTTTTTTTTATCATTTCCCTTGGAGGATTGGGAATAGTTAGAGCTATAAAAGGATGACTTTGTCGTTGATTTTGAATGCGGAACCCCCGGTTTCTTGAGGCGTGGTCCCGCAGGGTGATTGTGTGTTAAGTTTGGAAAACGCGACCACACGACATAGACGTTGTTTTCTTTCACTATATCGTTCTTGACCTTGTGTTGACATCGCTTTCGAGCGGGATGTGGGGCTTCGATCCGTGATTGGGGCTTGGGGTTGAAAAAGGTTATTCCAGAAGTGGTGCCACGCATTGCAGGCTTTTTCGGTGTTAGCGTGGCCTTCCACACCACCTCTCCACAACTTGAAGCGTCGCTGTCGAGAAATGAAACCGAATTATTTTTACTGGTGCTGTAGGATTTGTTGTGAACCTCTTCAAGCGTCTTATCTTTCGGGCTTATCGATCGCGCATATCGTGGTGGCGGAATGCCCCCACTTAATTTGCGGGTTTCCGTCAAAGTAGAGTCTGGATAGGATGACATGGGGGACACTCGATCGGTCCGTGTGGATTGTCTTGAGTTGGAAGAACCCGGAAGTTCTTTGTTAAACTGCGTATAAGAAAGATCGCAGAAATTATTCGGCGATAGAGCGTGCGCACTAGTATTATCTGAGTCATCTCTTTCAAGCAATTGCTGAATTGAAAGCAAGTTTGGCAAATGCTTATTGCGCATAGGTGTAGTAGGAGATAACGATAAAGACTTCCTGGATTGCATCGGCGCACGATTCACGTTATCGAAATATTTCGTGTTTTTACAATCGTCTACATCACTACTTCTTTCCCGATGCGCAAGTTTCAAGCTTGGGAGCGAATTCATCCTTTTGCTATCCTGTGAATTTCGCTGATTTAAGTTTTTGTACAAAAAGGCGTCCATCTTGGATACAGGAAGCTTTTCCGCCCGTGATGGGGCAACTTGGGGCAATAGAAAACTATCTTTCATAAACTTTAGGGATTTCACATTCGCTACATCAGATCCAAGACCTTCGTTAAAGCACTCCAGTGGGAATGCCCAATCATCGCTAATATTCATTTTGTCGGCCCTGTTCACTTCAAAAGAAGACTTATGGTTTTGGTGAGGGCTTTTTTCTACATTGCATTGACCCTTCCGCCAGTGGTGGTTGGCCATTGGAAATTGTCTATGCGTTTATTAAGGAAAAGGAAGGAAAAATTCGAGAGAAAGACCTGCGCGGCTGTGAATAGATACCGTTTTTGCAGTGTCACTCCTCGAAATATATAAATTTAGAAATCCTTTTCGTTTAACAAAATGTATGTCTTATCAACCTGACGAACTAGATGCCCCTTACCCCCCTCCCCTCCAAATACGTGTAATGATAGTACAATTCATGTATGGAAAAAGATGAAGGGATATAGGGTGAAGTTTGAAACGTGATAAAACCATTAATCCAAGGAGGAAGAGAAATGGAAAACATAATAGACAAAAGCAACTATGTTTAAATATCTAAGGGTGCTAGAGATTGCATCTTTCTGAATGGGATATACAGAGAGAGATTTAACGTATATATATATATATATATATATACAATTATTCTATTTTAGAACGGTACCATGCATACTTAATAGAAATTACTGAATTTTTTAGTTCAGATTAGCAAGCACAATAAGAGTGAAAAAAACTTCAAAGAGTTATATATTTGTAAATATCGGCAAAAAAATACAAAGTTCCAAAAAACGTTTCATTACCTCTAATGATCATAACATCTGAGGTTATTTTTTTTAATACGGAAAATAAAATTGCGTTGCAGGAAAAAATACATATGTTTCTGTTGGCCTAATTGTTTATAGATGAACAATATAAAGAACAAGATCAATAAAGACAATTTAGAAAAAAGATTAGACGGCAAAAAAAATAAAGATAAATACGTCGTCTATAAATTGAATTTTGTTTAAGCTAATTCATTCCTTTCAATATCCTAGATGCCTTATTCTTTTTATATGTCTCAGCGTTCAATACCCAAACCAATTTAGTGAGCTTATATACGTACAGTTGCTTGTTAATTAGGACAGCACTAAAATTAGTTAGTTGTGTATTCCTAATCACATCTTTATCATAAATAAAGAAGTAAAGATAAAATATTCTTTACTTCAGGCTTCGTGTATTACCCTTTAAGGCTTTATGAGCCAACTAGTATGTTTCTTATTAAAAGGAATTCAATAATGAAAGTAATTATATATATAAAAGGCATCAAAATATGCCATCCGGAGCTCTACAACAACTGCACTTGCAATATACCATTTATTTGCAATGTATTAAAAGTGATGTTCTACAAATTACAGTGCGGGCCCTCGACTCTTGTTGTTAGCAGTGGAAAGGAGGTATGGATGCTCATTCATGCTGTTGTGTAAAAGACTATTGTTCGTATCATTCTAAGGAGATGAATCTGTCCGATTGCTTTGGTTCCCATGAGTCCCCCCCCTTCCCTTTATGGTGTTGAGGATAACTCAAAGATTGCTCTAGTCTCCGCCGTCTCCAAACCTTATACCTCCAGGTTCGCAGGAGAGCGGTTGTTGCCATTACGCTCTTCCACGGCAATGTTTGGCGCTGCGGCCGGTTGCCGTCTGTTTTGTGACTGAATCCAACGTTCCCGTAGTAAGACACTCACTCCTATTGTTACGAATATAAGTAAAATATACACAATACCCCCTAATAAGGGCGAAGCCTCCCAGTTCCACCCAATGTTGCTAGCGATATACACAAAGTACTTTATCAGATACCCAATGGAAATCGTTTGGGCAATTATAACCAACGTCACAAAGGCAATTTTCAACTTATTCAGCCACGTCATAAATTGTGGGATGACGTGTACATCGGCTATGTAAGCCTCCACCTCTGGATTGCTTCGAAACCAGCTGTAAACGATGAGACGTGCAAGTATTACCGCAAGAATAATCTCTACATACACGAAAAGTGAGAGTATGATGCCATCGAATTGATACATGGTGGCGTAAGGCACGCGATGATATTCGGCAACACAGGATATCTCTCCAAAGACGCTGTATGATATCAATGGAATTAACAAAAAGCAAAGCGTGCAAGTGGCAATCAAGATAATAGCACACACAATCCTCTTGAAGCCTTGCCATACAATGGTTGAACGCCGAATCTTGATCTTAAAGGGACTTTTACATATTTCACATACATTGTGATTCCCCACGTTGCGTTTCATGCGCTCAAGCCGCCAGTGATCGAGACAGGAGAGGTGCACCCAACGCACGGAGCCGGTACAATTGCAAGGGGCCACTAAATTCCCATCTCCATCGCGGCATATCCGGCATAAGCGCTCGTCCTCTTCGGAATCCTCACTATCGTCTTCAGAGGATGAATTGGTGGTGAAAAAGAGGCTTTGACTATTGCCGCCAGTCGCGTAAGGGGCCGCGGGTGGGAACTCAGCAGGTGTACCGTCCACCGTCCCTCGCTTGCGCAGGGGAAGTTGGGTGGTGGAATCGTCATCAATTTCTTTTCCCTCCTTGTCCTCCCGCGGAGGTCGCGAAGGTAGGATTTTCTCGGTGGTAGAATGCGAGACTGGTTTGACCACCACAGCCGTGGTCCAAGTCCCCGACAACGGATTACCAGGGGCCTCCTCATTCTCCTGAAACCGTCGGATGGGCAACTGCACCAACATCGTGGAAGGTCGCTCCTTTTCCTCCTCCGTGGGTGAACTCGCATCTCTCCCCCTCGTTGAGGGCTCTGGCGCCTCTAAGGGGGATGTAATCTCTGCCAGGTGGGGCTGAATTGGGAACCCAAGAGGAATCTCGAGGTCCTTCTTCAGGGTCTGGGCAGGCCGTCCCGCGGAGTTATTGGGGACCTCTACCAGGACCGCGTTTAGACGAGCAGCGAGAGCCCGCTGCTGCATTTCGAGCCTTTTTTGAAGGGCCTTTCGCCGGCGTCGATACCATGCCGCGTGGAGCTTTTCCTTGAGGTAAAGCGCCCCGCCGATGAGGCTTCGTCGGAGAAAATACGGGGGAAACCGCATGTACCCCAGCGCGTTGATATCAAGAGAAGTTCCCTGAATGATATCCGCGCGTCGGAGAAAGAAAGGCAGTGGGAGCAGCAGCACCAGCAATGGGATCACCACCGCATATAGGATTTGGTCCACCTTAAGCTGCTTGGCAGGGGTCTGCGAGATAGATACCTGAATGCGGCAGAGGTTGCTTTGCACCCACGCGTCATCCCTATTGTTAAAGTTATCCCATCGTGAGGGCTGAACCATACTTTGGATCGTAAAGCGGAGAGTCTGGTCGACTTTTAGTTGAGATGTGCGCAAGGAACGACTTGGTAAAATCTCACATAGCAAAGACGTGTCAAAGAGCTGAATGAAGGAACTCCAAAACCGATTCTGATTATCCTTGTAGAACGCATCATCAGCATCATTATTCTTGGTATTCTCAAGTTGACGGGCTTTGGCAGAGGTAGCTTTGATTCTCTTGGATTTACCTACACTCTTAATACGGTTCCTGACGTGATGAGAACCAGCAACTGTATTTTCGAGCTCCTCAAAGGTGGGGGAATAAGATTCCTCTGCCATCGTAGTTGCGATATTGGTTGAATCTATCCATTCATCTTCATCCTCTGATGGGAAAAGTAAACGCAGTTGTGCGGATATATGCGTATTTTCGCAGTTATGCTCCGACACGGTAGGGTCGTAGCGGTGTCCACGGAACTGAAGAACCACGTTGACGATGTAGCCTTTGTGGCCTTTAAAAGAAACAACCGTCGTGTCGGTGCCGTATAAGGTGATGGGTATTATAGAGTTGTATTCATTTTCAAGATTAATATCATTTTGTACAACAATGGGAGGCGTAAAAAATCCATGCTGTTGTTCAAAGAGCTGAGATTTTTGAGAAGTTTGAACTACAACAACTTCCTCTTCTGGATGATATTGGAGATTTTTTTTCTGATGCATTGAAAGATGAAGTTGTGAAGTCTTTGATTGAGGATTCTCTAAAATATCCTGATTAGTTCCTTTACGATTACCGATGTGGTTCGATAGGGGGGTCGTACTTTTCGGTGTTTGTGTGTGCCGTATGACATCCTTCAAACCTAAAGTTATGTCTAATTGGGGTATTTCGTCGCTCGCTGTGTGGTCATTTTCCCTTCTCGCGATTACGGATGATGCGCATGCCGCAGCTGTGATACTTTGGGTGCTTTTATCAAGATTTGTGTAAGGTGTGTTAATGCCCTCGGAGTCTAGTGTTGACGAATTACTCATAGTGTTGCTCTTTGGAATCACCGATGGGGTGATCGATCTTCCAAACCGTTTATTTAATTGTTTTGTTTGATCATCTGGGTTACTCCAGTATGTTTTGTCAAGCACCGTGTGTTGGTCGAAAGAAACATTGCTAGAAAACACCTCTGTGGAACTTACAGGAAGGTCTACAGAGGGGGGTTCGGGTACTCCACCGACATGTAAGCCAAGGCTCACCGCACTAACATCAAGGACTAATGTATTAGACACTATAGCAAGAAGAACCAGGACAAGCGTGGCGCAGTTAATGCTAAAGTGCTTCCTCAAAATTGTCGATGAAACCATTTTCGAATGTGTACAGTAATGCGTTTCTGACTCCTTTCTACAATTTTTTTAAAATATACTAAAAAATATATACAACAAACAAAAACAGCGATTTACTTATATATGTATATATATATAAGTATGAATTTTACACCCAAATGTGATTTGAGATGTTAAAAGGAAATATTTTTGTGATAAATTGCAAAATTTTTTAAAACTCTTTTGTATGTTTTTTTTATAAAAAAGAGCAAGGGACTAGGATAAAATGAAAATCAAAGAAAAAAAGACAAGTTCATTTCTCTTTTTTAATGTATATATTCATTGTTTCGTCTACCGTATGATCCACCAATTTTAAAAAATATATTGGGATAAATAGAAATGTATTATAATAATAACATATTTGAATTAGAGTTTGGTCCTTCAACGCAGGTAAAGTTTACTAGCCTGAAAGTCAAAACTAAAACAATCTTCTTCAAAAAAGTTAACCTATTGTATTCGTGACTCTGTCTTTCGCTCTTTAGCTGTTTGGGGCTACTCCCTTTCTACATCACAAGAAAGCTCCACTTTTGCAAGTGTTTGTAGGTAGTTCTCAAGGATTTCTACTTAATTGAAAAATGCGCTAACGTCCTCCTCAAGGCTTTTTTCCTCGGGAGTGTCACAGGTCTCCTAGTCGGCATCCACAACACCGGTCTCATCCTTCTGAACCATATTCAGACGAGTTTTAAAATTGAACCTAAAGTCACGGAAAGATGGGTACAACTCATAGTTGTGGTAGCACATCTTGAAAAAATGCGTTTTAATGATGTCTATGTCAACCGGGTAGCGTCGCAGCCAGGGCATGTAGTTTAGTGTGGTGTCTATCGCAGCTAAACGAACTTTTTTGTTGGCGCCATAAAGACGTCCAGAAAAACGGGGTGATCAGGATCACTAAAGAGCGTCTGATCCCAAAGCAGCGGTTCAGCACACATATACCCCTCGCATCCTGTTTGAGCAAAGTTCTTCAATACGTCCTGGTAGCACAGTACGTTACCGTTGGAGATAACCGAAATGGTCCCACACAGAGCTAAGCGAACACGTCGAATGAGCTCAAGATCAGCCAGGCCGCTGTTTTGTCCTTTCATCGCACGTGTTCGGCCGTGCACACATATCAATTGAGCCCCCGCATCTCGAATCATCTGTGCGAAGTAAATTATAAGCAACTCATCTAATTTAGACTCGATATTTTCATTGACTGGGGTTGAGTTCGTAGTGTCTGAGTGGTCAAAAACGTGTTTTTGCAGTCACAGGGACCTCCAGCTCAACATGTAGTGTATGAATGCTCGTATGGATATCTCACTTTTCCTTGAGAAAGAAGCCGTAGTAACCTCGGCGCGTAATGCCCTGTACACAGCCTAAATTGATATACACCGCATTACATTGATAAAATAATTCCTCTTTATCTTCTCCAGTTTCTTTATTCGATATTCCACTCCAATCAGGGCGATTGATGGAGACGAAGCAAATACCATTGGGGTAGTTCAGATCCACATATTCGCCTCACATCGCAAGGTGAAAACCTTGCAAGAAGGCCTCATACTGTTGTGTAGATAGGGCAGAACAATGAACAGTCTACCGACCAATAAAATATCTTTGGAAAGAGTAGCTCACCTTAGGCAGCACTCCGCTCCTTTTATAAAGATACTTTCGTGTGCCCGTAAAAAACTGCTGTCCCAGAGCAAGGGTTTTGAGACGTTCGTTTCCGTCGATATACCTCTTGTCGCATTGCTATGGAGCTTGTGTCTTTGGTTTTGTTTCACTGATAGAAATGGGGATCTACATGCTTAGTGTAAAGCTATTGTACTTTTAATTATCTTCAATATTCTAAACCTTATTAATTAAAAATATTTTTTTTGAGAATAAGAGCAAGATAATCACCTAAAGTATAAAAAATAATCCTAGTGCATCATTTAGACAGAATGGAAACTGCAAGATTTCAACACTTAACTATCGACATAATCTTTAACTTTTCCAGTCGAAGGGGGAGCAGGATTCTTTGGCTGCAAATATCATAATTCTCATTTATATATTTGTAATCGAATCTGGTAAAATACTTTCAAAAACTAAAACAACACCATCACCAACAAAAAAAATACGCTTAACCCTTTATTCCAGCGCAACGAGTTATGAAAAGGGACTCAGAAGCTTTTCATCAGAAAAAAAAGAGCAACAATAATTCATCAGGAAAATAAAAATGACCATAATGTAGGTGACCAACAGAACCACAAAGCTGTGTATTTATGTTTCTACACTCAAATATCGCCATTTTCATTCAAAAAACTGTAGTATTACAGAAAAAACTAGAGAATAAACTTCTACGTTTACATGTATTAGAAGAATAAACCCTAAGAAGGCAGAAATGTTTGATTTCATTTTCAACCAGTTTACATTTACAATTCTAATAACATCCAATAGTAATCGAAATGCAAAAATTCTGTAAAACACCACAGAAAAGAGATAAATAAAAATCATATATATTTTTAAATATCAAAGGAAACACCAAACCGTGTAAAAGTCAGCTTAAACCGGGAAGCAAGACATTTTTAGATCAATAATATGTGTCCTATTTTTTTACAGCCGAAATAATTTGATGAAATATCAGGAAATGCCTACCGGTAAGTAGCAAAAGAGTCTTGTTTCTTATTTTTTTTAGAATGACTTCATATGACAGTTAGCATATATTTAATTTTACTCCGTTCTTAGGATCACATACAAATACATTCTGTCATAAGAAAGGAAAGCACACACCGCACCATTACACATTATTATTGATGTGAAAAATGTTAATCCAATGATATTCCTTCACTTGTAAGAGCATTATGCAGGAGCAAAAAAACGAAAGGACGGTCCAAACTTTCAACATAACAATATTATCTATATTTTATATATTTCAATGTGTTGTATTTGGTTCGAGCTTCATCCACCGATCAGTACCGTTCATCACAATGTGTGGGTATAAATAAACAGGTAAAAAAAGAATAATGAGTTAAATAATAATACTCATCCAGAAAAAAAAATCAAACAAATAAATTGATTCATATTTAAACCATTCATCGCTCCTTAAAATACCGTGAGAGAGATATTCTTCAGACAAAGATTTACGGTAAGCGCAACATCCCCTTTTTGGTTACTCGTATCCGACCTCTACCTTTGCAGCCCCGTCCTGGGGCCCTCACAAACGACACCGCGTCTAATGCTGTCACACAAAGGACAATTGTGGCCATGGATTGCATTCACACCGAGGGTGCGTCTGTGACAGTGCCTACTAATGCGTGTGACTGCTCCAGAGGCAAAAACCTCAGGCCCCTTGTCCTTCACGTCAGGAGCTGCTGACGCGGCCGCTGCTTTTGGCTTGGAGGGCGATGATCGTCTCCAGAGACGACGCGCTCAGGACGGGAGAAGGTAAACGACTCCCCGCGCAATAGGTGGAGCGCCGAGGGGGTGCAGCGTGTGGAGAGCGCCCCTCCAGCCGCGGCGTAGAGCTGAGAGGGGCACCCCCCACATGACTACCACGAGCCCCAGAGAGGGGCGTACTGGCCCCGGCGTAGCCCTCACTAGGCGGCTTTTCTACACCCCCAGCAGCGTTCGGACAAACGCCACGCGTCGATCGCGATGTCGGGGATTGTCGCCCGGCGCCCTCTCCGGTCGCTGGGCCGCCGCCGCGGTTGCGCCCACCCCCTCTTGGCGAGTTCCCGCTGACATCGTTTTCTGTGCTGCTAAGGTTAAGTAGTGCCGTGCGGAGGTCAATCGAGGGGTGGTTCCCCTTCGGCACCTCACGGCTCGGTCCGAATGCGTTGGACGAGGACAAGGTACTGCCACTTCGTGTCACCGGGGAGATGTTTCTGTAAGAGGGGGAGTAATGCCCTCCGATGATTCCATGTGGGACGTTCTCGGTGGGTTCGGGGTGACCATTTGGTTCCAGCCCATGACGAACTAGCTGCCATTGCCGAGAGGCATCGTCCTCGCAGGTTGTGGCGCAGATCGCCTGTCGTACTGAACCTCCCCTGTCAGAACCACTATCGTCAAACTCGTCGGAAGTGCTTTCCATCGCAGGGTAAACTATGTTTTGACTATTGTTTAGACTGCTTTCACGCTGAACACCATTCTCTCGGAAGGAGCCTATAAATAGATTCTCGGACTGTTGTCTTTGACGGTAATGCTCTAAGAAATTCTGTAGGGATACCGCATACGGGGTTGTGGGCTCGTAATGGCTCCGCACACTACATGAACTGCTCACACTACCCGCGTAGAACCCGGTGCTAGCTCGGTGATTTCCCTGTTTGAACGAAAAGGAGTTGGAGTAGAGATGTTGTGGTGTACTTCGTCCAGAACCGTGCCGCTCGATGTACTCAGAACGACCATAGAACTCAGGAGATGCCACACGGTTTTTTTCCTCCATAATGCGGCGTAGCTCTTCCTCGGTCGGTGGTGGCGGTTCTGCCTCAGGGACCTCAGGCAACTTTCTAAAGTCTATATATACTCTTTCATCCTCGTGTGGCACGACGACAACCCCCCTTGGAAGCCGTGCCCGCGGCCGAACGCGATTTTCAATCGTAACGCCAACAATTTCGATATGTTGGCCTATTTCATTACCTGTAGACACAAACTGTTCTGTATTTTGCAACTCGAGTTCGTTGCCCTCCCTCATAAATCTGCGACTGTCATTGTGACCAGTACCACTTATGGAAACCTCGTGAGCATCTTCAAAAGTTCGCATTCGTCGAGCAGTAAGTAAAGACAGGAAGTGCATCAATACGTAAAGAAAAGAAAGGCCAATAATTATAAAAACGCAGAGGATGCAAATTGCACTGACAATATTTTGACTAGACCACATGACGTCTACAGTGTCGGACACTTTTGAATAAGAATTAACTAGTTAGCGAATATGAAAAAAACAATAAGCAAAACACCTGTATGTAATTTCTATTATGGTTAGGGAAAAAACAAATTCAAATAAATGCAACAATTACCTATAGTAGGTCTAGTGGAGCCAAACTAAAGTTATGCCCCAAAAATAACCTAAAATAAGAAGGAGAACGAAAAAATCAATTCCCTTAATAAGAATTAAATGAACTTTATTTACAATAAATACAAAAACTATAGAAAACGGAGTGTGGAAATGATTTGACCCTCCTCTCTCAAACTGGTATGTCTAGATTTGTTTGGAAGAAAGAAGAGAGAGGAGGGCTTTCCTAAACCCCTTTTCCACTTGGAAATCGCAACTAATTGTATTGAAAATAGTGTAAAAGGAATCTTCTATGAAGATTTATTTATGCCCTTTGTGGATTTATGATTTACGTTAACCTTCTTCAAACAATCAGCCTTGGTATTTTCAGTTTGCTTGTGAATCTTTAATTTGGAACAGCAACAACAAAAAAAAAAGACTGGTAATATCTACCAAGGTGAAAAAGTTTTTCTATGTTAGTGAAGTAATAACAAATTTTGTCAAGTGTAATGCATGTAATCCATTCATATGCTGTTTAATTAGCAAATAAACTTGCGCATACAAGTTCATATTTACCATGACCGCGAATTCATCAAGAATTCTGTAAGTATGCTCGTTTGATGAAGTAAGAATAAAAGGCATGTAATTCATTAAAGTAAGCTTCTTTATTACAGTCTATACACTCAATGAACGTTTGCAAAAAAACAAAAGTGCTTTTCACTGTAATTCACGTCTTGTGCGAATCTCGTGTACGGAAACTTCACCCTATTAAATAGAACAACAAAAACAATATTTCAATACTTATTCAAGCATCACTTTTCCTCTTCACGTACCACTACAACAGAAATATTACTCCTTGCAAAAATTGCTATTGTACTACATCTTTACTTCGGACAGTGAGGCAGTCGTACCTGTTGTCTTCAGTGATGTTAAATGAAAAAAAAATGTTTTGCTGAATTCAACAAAAGAGAATAAGTCAATATTAATTTTAAGAATAAAAATAAAATATCATGTGCTACTATATAATAGTGCATTTTTCTCTTTTATACTCGATTTTTATTTTATTCCCTTCCAATTTCATTCAGCTCCGAGACACGGCATTTACATATAATCGAAACAGCCAAAGTCCAAGCGCAACCGAAAACAACACAACAAATGTTATGTTTCGCCTTAGAACGCGATAGTGCTCTCGAATTACTGCATCCCCGCTTGGCCAAGGGAATTCCTTGCCAGTTGGATCCTCGTCGAACATTTCACGCCCATACTGCGTCACCAATTTCCATCCCTTTTTGTCTTCGCCCGCCTCGCCAGCTGGTGCCTTTTCGAAGACCATCAGTGTGGGAATACCCCGGAAGCAGTACCGCGCCATCCATGCCTTTTCCACCCCCTTCGCCTCGTCAAACGGCAGGGCCAACCAGTCCCCGTGGGCGCTTTCCATGTAGGCCCGCATTCCCCCCGCCGTTTGGTCCAATGACACGAAGACGACCTCAAAATTCTTTTCCTTATGGGACTTCTCATAGAAGGTGCGTAATTCCGGGGTAAAAACCCGGCAGGGGGGGCACCATTGGGCGGAAAAGTAGACCAGAACGTACTTCTTCCCTTCCAAGGCCTTGTTTTCTGGAATGGGAGTCAGGGATTGGCCTCTCAGAAGGGTTAACGCGGGCTTGTCAAATAAGGATACCATTTTCTTTCTTTCTTTTAGACCTTGTTTCGATTGGACTTTTTGTTCGTTTACCTGATTTATGTCCTTTAATTATTTCCCTTTACTCGGCTTTCTCGTTCTTATCAGGTGAATAAGGATCTACACTACAACTTTAGACTAGGGGCAAATCAAATGGGAAAAGCAAACCAAAAAATATTTTTCACCTTGGCAAACAGCATACTCACGGGTAAGTAACCTTATAAGTGGCAAAGGAATAATAAGGAAAGAAAAGTAGAGCTCCCCAACAGAACTACAAAAACACATCTTAAGTGTAAAAAAAAATCGACAATAATAGCAACTGAAAGAGGGTAAATGTCAAGAGTAAAGCTCTTGAAAATTAAACCATGAAATTGGACAACATAAGGAAAGGTGTCCTTCATTTTTGCAATACATCTTTACTTGTAATTATGAAATTGCACACATCGAATATCACTAGTGAAATTATAACCATCTTTATAAAATATAAATGATGTACGTCATTTTAAACCTTATCTAGGTATTTGAACATGAAAATACTACGGTCATGTTTGTTTTCAATAGTCCTCATGTTTCTTTACAGCGTGTAGGAGTTTGTACCTTTTAGACACAGTGCAACTTAAGAATACGATATCCACAGAAAAACTAATCTTTTTAAATATTCAATACCCAATCGCTTTTGATATAGATAATGAATTCTTTACACTCTTAAATTTGTTTTTTAATGAAATGATGATAGAAGAAAGGGATATACAAAGTGGATACTAAATAATATAAACCTTACTTTTAAGTCAACGTTAAAATATAAATTTTGGTGTAAATATAAAGCGATCAATTAATTGAGGATCAACCCCCAGGGCAGTGTACTCGATATCGATTCATGACCAGGTGGGGCATGTATCGCACTGGCCTGCGAGATTATTCAGCGATAAATTTCCACGCAAGCATAAAGAAAATACATAAGTGTTCTGTTCCGTTTTCTGACATTCTATATGTGTGAATTAAAACACATTAGCTTTTTCTCATCTTAAATCAAAAATACACAATCTACAAGCCGTGGTGTGAATGTGATGAACCTCAATACGTAAATTCAAGGTTGAATAAATGATAGCAAATATGGTTAGCTTCACGCAAGACATTTTCTAAATCAAGCTATTTACCAATTCTTTTTGAAAGTATATAAAGGGATATATAGGCGGTGGTGAGGACACCAGAGCAGGTCAATCACTACGATACGCTGAAATGTCATTATCTTAATGGTATGCATCCCTTTTAAACATGATTCCTGCGTATATCAGTTTCATATTTTAAAATGGATTCTCATATTTTCAAAAAGAGATAAGAAGGTTACTGCATTGTTTGAAGAGTGAGATAGTGCAGACCTTTAGCAGATACATCTTAACATATCCTGAAGGATCCTAAGTGTCGGCATATAAAGTGAATAAAAAGTGTTAAAATAATAATGGTTATCACCACTATTAGATATCAACATCTTTTATAGTTCTAAAAAGGATAAGGATCGAACGCAGGAAATACATCTGAAGCGTACCTGTTCGCTGGCATTCATATTCTTTCCTGTTCAAGCAAAAAAAAAAGCATATAGCTAGATACCATTTTTTTACTCCCTTTACCACGCTGCCAGAGTAGATACCTTAGAGGACTGGCCAAAGCACCTTAAGTATAGATTCAGCAAGGTGGAGAAATCATGCCCCTCTCGGACATTGTTCATGATGTGTCGAATACGAACTCGATGATAAGCAGAACACACATCAAGGAGACGAACAAAGTGATCCGTGCACAATGCCGGGGCCCGCCTAAAGCATTTTTCGATCAAAAAAAATGCATGAGCGCATTCATTTTTTTCCAAGTAAGGAGACACCGCCACTAGTATAACGATCTCACGAAGAACGAAGCCAAGTGTTCTCTCGGGTAAGCAATTAGAAAAAGACAACGATTTTGCCACGGAGTCTCCGCCGCTGTCATCACCCCCGCTTAGGCTACCATCCCCATCCCCCCCTCCAACGGTTTCTTTGTTCACAATGATGAACATCAATTTAAGAATCACTGGAAGGTAAAAATACGCAAGGCATTTGGTCAAATAACGTAGAATTCGGTCCCACATATTTTGCCAGATAAAAATCTGATGCAGTTGTTGAAAGACAGTACCGTCCGTGGTCAAGGCCGCAAGCATGGCGCTGAAGACACGATTTCGCCCTCTTTCGCTCGACATGAGCATATCCACCGGAAGAAAAGTAAAAAACTGCACAGAGCCAGTAAAAAACATCTCCACGGTGTGTCGTTCATAGTAATGCATAATCCCTAGATTGCTCCATGGTGCGCAGCACATGCAGTAGAGAAAGTCTGAAAGGTCGTACACCACGGTCGCCTCCACACGATCGGAGTCAAAATCAAACAGCATCATCGAATTAAATTGGATCGCAGAATCTTCCACGTTAGGGCTGCATATTTTGTTGAGGTTCGCCCGATGAGCCAAAGTGGCTGAAAAGGACACGAGATCGAAAAAGTGGTTCAACATCCGCATCACAAAACTACTCAGAGAGCAATGCATCTCCCCTATAGGACCGTTCTCCAGTAGGTGCTGGGCTAGGGTACATAACGCTGTTAGCCAGCATACGACGAGGGTCGCGCAGTTGAGATCCTTGTTCATTACCTGCATTAAGGCCTCTTTATAATCTAATACGCGTTCAAGAATCACCAAAAGCGTAGTCGGCCGCTTCACCCCGCGAGAAAGCGCCGTGAGGTCGATAAAAGTCTGCGCGGGGTTGTGAAGTAAACCCTCCGGTGAAATCATTTGGGTGATTAATTTGGATACGACATCTTCCACATGAAACCCCGCCTGCTCGCGCGCCTCAACAAGAGCCATAAAGGCGGTATAAAACCCACTCCGCACCTCGCGAGGTAAAAGCGGCATCGCCGGGTCGAGTTTGTGGACCGCGCGAAAGGAAGGAATGCCATCCTGTGCGATGGCCCGAACCACGGCAAGAAGTTTGTCCGAGCCGAGAAAAACGCTGCCGCCGGTGCCGCTTGTGAGGATGCGGCGAAGAAGCAGGTTCGCATCGGTCACGAGAGATGCTATATCACTATGATAAAGGTACACAAAGCGAAGCAAATCGAGCGAAATATCAAAAAACTCCGGGCGCCGGTGAAAATAGGATTCGCACAGGCAATTACAGAAAAAGAACAGAGCGCGCAGGATGCCAAAGTGCACCTGGGCGTGGTTATGGTTGCCTGCGGTGTCGTTTGAAAAGGTCGTCGGATTGCCCGTGGCGTCGGTCCCGAAAATGGAAAGACATTGGAGGAGGTTGTTGACGAGTTTGTCGTCCCCTGTTAATAGTTGACGCGCAAACTTCGCGACAGGCTCCAAGACGGAATTATCCCCCGGGGCGGTATCATTCGCCATGGCGATAGCGAAGATGGAAATAATAACTGAAAGATGCGATAAAATAACCCGCATCAAGAGCATCTCCACCGCATCACGAGACGGAAACCCTTTCAGAATGTCCAAGCCTTCCCTTGGGGCACTACTATTACTTTCATAGCTATGGGTAAGATATGGGGCGCTTCCAGATACCACCGCTTTGACATCTGGAAAACGCTCAACCAATAACATGAGCGCTTGCTCCTCCCGTGTGGGGATATTGGACGCGGAGGGCTGCGAAACGGCGTCCCCGGTGTTGATCCCAATCTCACTATTCCACCATCGCGCCTCACGGATCGACACGAGTGTGTGATAATCCTCAATGCCTTGTCGTAATTGGTCTACTAAGAAATCCAGAAAGTTTATTCGCTTACAGAAAAGCATACTCGCCAAGGGCAGCAAGGTCTTTTCATTATGCAATACCATACCCACCTCCATCCGCAATTCTTGGGAGTCTTCCTTCAGGTGTGCTTTGTTGATAACTGAGTTGGAATAGGTGGTGAAAATGGAAAACACCAAGTCCTTCAGGTACTGGTTACCTTCGGAGTTTGTCTGTTCATTAGAAAGGAGGTTTATTTTATCGGTTTCGAGCGTCATGCTAGAGTCCACTGGTGCTAGGGGTGGAGAAGCATTTGGCCCGTTATTCTCTATTTCACACGGGTGGATAATACAAGCATGCTCGAGAAAATCATCAAAATTATGTTGATTTCCTCGCGGAGGGGGTGGTAGAAGATTGTCTGCAAATAAATAAAATAAATGCATGAGTGACTGACGTAACTCGTCCTCCTCGTCACTAAATCTGGTGAGGACGTATTGTGTCGCATCGGCCCACGCACTAATAAGATCAATATTCTGCACAAGGTACGCCGAAACACCTTGTTCATCCCTCTCAAAGGTGTTAATAAGAATATCACAGGCCAAATGAAGATGCTCCATGAGCGCATTATTTCCCTGGCAAACCTTCAAAAGCTCCGAGGAGAGCAATATCATTTCCTGCGTTATTGCTGGACGCACCGAAAGTGTATAGGACTCTTCCGAACACGTTAGTGTTGAGCATAGACGCAGGAGTCTACCGTGCAAAAGTGCATCCTCATTTGTTGGATAATGAATCAACATATTTTTGCTATATTGTAAAACAACAGGGAGCGAATTAGCCCACTCCTCCCATCGTGAGAGGTGAATGCTATTTTCACGGTAATGGCGGATGGTAATGGGGGTTGCCTCTGAAACGGCACCATTCTCAAATAGGCATTCTAACACCACACAGCACACTTGCGCCGCTTTAGATGATACCACGTCCAACAAATGGCCCGCCTGTTCAAAAAAAAAAGGCAACGCAAACGCCACAAAGGACATACGAGTCGAAAAGATAGGTATTTTAATGCACTGCTGCGAAAAGTAAGGAATAAGCTCCAGCAAACAGTCCATAAACTCTTCCGGTGTTAAATACCCTTGAAAGAATCCTAATATGGTGGCGATTTGACTACGACCAACCGGCGTTGGTCCACCTCCCTCGGTGCCGTTGGCAGCCGTGGTGGTGCTGTCCTGGTCTTCTTGCTCCGCGCTCAGGACGTCTAACTTCCAATTCAGGTAGGTAGCCGAAGCAAGAATAGCATACAATTCATGCTGAACATAATGTCTGAGGGCTTCGCTATTTTCCCTCAGAACTTTGAGATAATTCAGGACAATGTATTGCACTTCACGGCGCTCATCAGGCCCGATCTCATTACTCACAAGAAAGAGAGCGGCCTTGCATACCATAAAATGCAAATAACGATACTCCGTGGCTGCGGTCAGGAGTGCCTTTGTCGTATTCCAATGCTCATAGGTGCTCAGGTATCGAAGCTGACGAGCGGCGGCATCGCGATTTACCTTCACCGCGGAGGTTAGGGCCACCGTCGCGACCTCGTCCAATGACTTGAGCTGTGAATGTGTGGGGACGACTGAATCATCCACCACTTCTAGGCTACTTAGAATGTCGATGCCCTCCATATATAGGCTCTGAGACAGATTCCGGATATTGATAAACACCCTGTGTTCTATGATAGGTTGAGAAAATATGCAGCGCGTACCCCGCGGATATTCCACCGGGAGGCACTACAACAGAAGAAAACAGTGTCAAGAGAAACTTACCCTTTTCAAATGAAATTACCTTTCTCCCTTTTTTTCAGTTTATTTTCTGGCGTGCAAATGAGAGCAAAAAACAATTTTTGTTGAGATGCAGTTAACATCATAAACAACATAATGATTTGACAAAAAATGCATTGAAAAGTATTAAAGCCTACTAAAAGATACATTTTTTCCTTTTGCGATTAGAAACTCAAATCATAAAAGCATTTTTAATTCAAATCAGAAAAGTTTAATGCTTGATATTTATTTATAGTTCAAATATACGTTAAAGTGGCGGATTTTTATTAAAAAATCTCGCATATTGTGTAAAAAAAAAAAAACAAGACTTACGAAGAAAAATGATAAAAAGGAATAAGTAATAAAATTTTCCACGACACCCTATAAGAAGTCTCTTGCTAAGTATTTCAAACAATTAATAACCAAGTATTCATATAGATAATCATACGTATTTCCTTTTTATGAGACAAATTGCCTCATCTTACCCTCTTAGACAACCTTAAACCAAAATGAATATTGTTTATATGGAATAAAGGCAAAGGATCCTGCGTACACATTTTCCTATTTTTTCTATTTTTGTACTTCTTTGATGTGAACTGCACGACAATCTATCAGAAAAACTATTTGAAGGAAATAGAATTATTTATCAAATTATGTTACTCCCTATAGAGAAAACCCTTATCTACTAATGTTGTTAATTTTTAAAAAAGCGTCATTAAATGGTATACCTTGTGCTTTATAACAAGTATACAAACTAGTCCCATCGGCTATTTCTACAAATGGAAATATCATTAATCAAATACGCCATAAGTTTGGTCATATAAAGTCACTGAAAATATGATTAATCTTAATGAAAAAGAACAGCAACATAAAACTGAAAGTGTACCCCAAAATCACCTCCCTTGTAAATCCCTCTAAAAGAAAGCTTTAGTAGTAAGAAACTAAATATAGTAAATATTATTACAGCGCAGTCGATACATCAAAGCACATTAGAAAACACTTATTCTGAAAATATCACCCCGCAAGAAATAGTGTGTTGCCTTTTTTCCAAAAAATGAGGTTGCGTCATAGTATTTCATAATTGTGATAGCATCAATTACCTGCTTTATCTACTGTGTATATGTGTGCTTTATATTATAAGATGTATCCTTCCTGTGTAGTATGCCCAGAAGGGAAATATCGGTGCAATTATACAAATCAAAACAAGAGTACCCACAATAACAAAGAATGGAGTTAAACTATCGAGGTAATGAAAAGGCACCAGAAAATTTATGCCCCATTGTGCGACGATTATATGCGCAGGCATTATGGTTACAAAAACGTAGTGCACCAACACCATGAAATAATCCGAATCATTACTAACTTCATAGTTGCTTGAAATCACGTTAGAATTGTAAAGGATGGTGGCATTACCCAACACTATGCGCGAAGTATCCATTTTATGAAGTGTTTGATCAATGATATCACTAACGGCGTCCAGAACAGTAAAGGTTTCCGAGACCGGCGATGGGTACATCGCTTTGGAAACTCCAAGTGACCCTCGCTGGTCGTGATCCGAGGAAGAGGTTTGAGCCATAAAGGCGGCCAGTACCGATACCGAAGGCCCTTTCAAGGATTTCAGTAATTTTTTTTTGGAGATCAGTTCGCGACGATGATTTGACAACCGATGCCGAAGCATCAAAATGCGCCGGTGTGCATCCGACTGATCACTCTCCATTTTAGGCAGAATTAAGGGTAGCATGGAGTCAATAGCCTCCACTTCGTTCAGCATGGCATTAATGTTAGGAAGGTAAGTATAACACACAGTTGACAGGAGAAGAGAAACAAACAAAGACGTCGTCATCATTTCCTCATCTCGGTTACGCCTCTCTGGAATATGAAAAGCGTCAGGCTTAGACCCATCCGGCGGTGGTAAGTGGGGTTTGGGGTAAATACAGTGCGAGAGCACCGCCTCACGCAGCTGAGACCAGTTCTTCCCCTGCCAAACACACCCACGATCCTTCCACGAGGCTGAAATGCTTCGGGGGCACCACGTCACACACAATCCTTCGAAACAAAAGACGTACGTGATAGCGGACTGTAGAGGTCTAGTATGCTTATCCCCTCCAATGCACAAGGCACCGCTATACCGATCAGTTTCAAGCAGTAAATGATCCTGAGAATCGTTCTTAGAACAGTCCGAGTCACTCCTGTTGTGGAGGTCATTAAAGTTGGTGAGAGGGGTGGGGTCACAGAAAGGGTTGACTGACCTCAAAAATGGATTATTCTGGCGAATATCAGAGACATGAGAGAGTGCAAAGAACACATCCTGTTTGTTCTCTCCAGTCATCAAGTAAGGAACGTGCATCTGCTTTTCAATTTTTGCAATATGATGCACAGTATGCTCCAACAACGTTACCACACGCAACGCGACATAGTATTCTTCCTTGTTCCCTCCTTTACAATTTATGGAGTTAGATTTATTGAATATATTCACGGCGTCAGGATCATCCAGGACTTCCAAGCCATCTTCAAAACTGTATCCCGGACAGAAGCATTCAAAGTCTTGAGACAGTGTAAGTTCTCCCTTCTCCAGAGTGTGATTCACCTTATCACCTTCGTTATTAGGATGTGTTCCAGACATAGCATGAAAAAAAGCATTAGCATTACTCAACCCGTTTTTTTGAAGCATTACCACTCGACGTTGGTACTCTTCTTTTATCTCATCCCGAAGCTTCATTCGATGCCCTTGATTAAGTTGTAGAGCTTCCCAAAGACCATCCATAGTGCTGCTTTTGTCATTTCCATTGGTAGTATCCTGAGGAAGCGGGGGCACACCATGGAGATCAATCCAAACAAAGCCCGTCTTGTTGTCTGGAGTCATCCCTTCGGAGTACTGTGCGCCATTTCCAATAGGAGAGGGAAAAATGCCATTACAAGCGCGTACAACCTCCTCAACTTGGTTTACATATGCTTCCTGAATACTGGTGCCGTCATTCCCACACTTATATATGTGGCCCGCAAACGTAGACAATGATGCGGAAGCCCCAAGCTGTAGTCTAGAATCCCCACTCCAGTGATTAGCCCCGTCGAGCCACAACGTATTATTGATCATTCCCTGTTTACTGAATTCCATGAATGCGGTAGATGAGGATGACTCCGCTTCTCTCAGTTAGTTAAAAAGGAAGGTAGATCAGAAAATTAGAAAAGTTGCAAGTACAGACTTTGTTTCGAAGTAAAGAACCCTGTTAGCGGGGATTTATATGGCGGAAGTGGTGTTATTAGATCAGGTGTATATATCAATAGCCTTAGACTGGAATGTTTATTGAAGAATTCTTGCCGAGAGAATTGTGAATGAATTCAATTAATATACTGCCATATACGTAAAGGTAACTCTCAAAAATATCTCGATCAGACGCAAAAGCTTAATGAAAGAAATTTCTGTAAATGCACTTAAAGAAGGAAAATCAGCTTGCTCATGGAAAAAAGTTATAAAAAAGGGGATAAAAAATAAGAACTAAGGAAAAAATAAATGGAGAGAAAATGTAATATTAATAGATTAACAATATTCTAGTTGAAATCTCAACAGCAAGAAATATTCACGTATGTTAGGTGAACAAGCAAAGAGAAAAGGGTTTAATTTCAAGGTAATATTTTTAGCTCTGAACTGCAAACAGAACATAATGATATTTAGTATTCAAGTAGCTTTTTTTCCAAAAATTTCACATTTGTCATGAATATGATAATCATGCTATAATTCGGCGGATCACATAAATTTAATCTACCATCTCATAGGATAAAAAAGGTCCTTTGCCTGGAAGAAAAATAAGGAAATTATGGGGAAAACAATGGCAAAAAAGTTACCATGAACTAAGAGTCAAACTAAATCACAGAAAAAACGATGATTAAATAAAAATACGTATACAAAACGAAGAAAAATATACTATAATTAAAAAAATATATCACTAAAATCGAACGGTGAATTACATACATTAGTATTCATTTCAGAAAAAATGATTCGTCAAATCCTTTAGCTGGATTTGCTTTCCCAGCTACCTGTTCCAATATAATTTATCAGGGGTTAAATCAGAGAAAAGAATGTTTAAAACGACATTAATTACATAATACTTCACTTTTTTTTTCTTATTTCCTAGATCCGCACTATATTTTACTGAATCATGGTCACGTATTTTTCCCAATCATACACTTATAAAGACTGTGAAGAGAATATAGTTTCAACTAGTGTAGGTTTTGTCAAAACAGGTACCTTGAAATGAGATAGATCTATTGGCATTCATTTATAGGATACATTTCTCTTCAACACAAAGGATTCAAATATTGAATTCAAGATCACTCTCTACTTCTCATGTTGGCCTCACACCTATCTAATTGCTTATTCGTCACACAAGCCCATAACACTTGAGGAGTTTTTTCAACGCAATCAAATCTCTTTTTTCAGCTTTTCTTCTGGCTCGACTCGGCAAAATTATGCAGTCCTTTTGTGACGTTCCAACTCGTAATGAGAAAGACTGTGGGTATCGGCCTGTTAGCAATTGAAAACGGGACACCGGTTAACATAGAGTTTGCCTTTTTATCAGCTGGGCATGAGAACCCTTGATTAGGTGACACGTTACTGCGTAGGGTTATTATAAACACTGTAGGCGCAGGCTCCATACATACTTTGCAATCCAGGTCCTACTGACCCCGAATCGACCATTGAGAACTGGGGATTATACATACCATTACCATTTTTACCCGGTAAACCTGTGGCAGATGACACACTGTTTCCTGGGACATTTACTTGATCATTCCCTTCATCCGTGAAATGTGATGTTTGAAAGCGGTCGCGACCATGACGAGTGTTTGAGTCGGGGCAGTCTTCGGTTAACCCTTGGTTCTGAAGCATACTGTTGCCGTAGGGAGCGCCTGCGGCAGCAGCCTGCATTTGGAGCTCCTGTAAAGCCAATGCTTCCTGCATAAGCTGCTCTTCAAACCCAATTTCTTGGATCCTTTGATGCACCATACCGCGCTGCATAGCATACATCATCATGCGCTCAGGGGCATCTTCAGCTGGACGGTACATGCTTATCTTCTGAATGAGAAGGTTTACTTTCACAGAAAAGATAAAAAGGTATAGGTGTAAACCTTTATAAAAGTAAGATTTGACCTTTAAAAACGAACAGCAGATCGGTGAATAAATTTGGTGATGTAAAAAATGGCAGAGTATACACGAATACATATAAAAAAAACTGTTACACAGCTCGATAGTTTTCCCTTTTTTGTATGTATTTCAGTACTTGAAATTTGTAATAAAAATACCAAATTTGAGGATAGACCGTTATTATACCTTTGTCATTTATATTGCATATATATATATATATAATAAAAAGTGAATGATAAAAAAAAAGAATTATGTTCGAATAAGACAAAGGTGTGTCGCTGACCTTATAGATGCATATATTCTATATGATTTATTGCAGTAATTTTTTAAAAATGATAAATAATACTAGAGTTTTGAAAAAAATAGATGTTTTTATGGATTTCTGAGGATCCAAAAGTACATTGAGTTTAATGAAACGTAAAAAATCCTGTCACTGTAATTTCAGGAGGCAGTCGACTAATATTAATGTCGCGATTTCTTTCACAGGGCCCTAGGGATGCCCGATTACAGAGTGCATTGCTGTATTTCGCCGGGATCCCACGCCTGTTTGCTATGGTAATATGTGGGAAGCGGTTGTCACAGGGAAACTCCCTGCCACTTTCATTGCGAACCACAACCGCAGTGCCATCCGAATCAGAAATAACCCACAGAAGAGTTTACACAATTGCCTTACCACGAAAAGTACACAGCTGTGCGTACATGAATTCATCGTGATCATTACCAAAGTATTTAGTTGTTACGTGAAAAGACCTTTGGATAA